ACACACTTGTACAATAAAGCAGAATTTGGGTATACACTGCAACACAGGCTGGGAACTTAGTGGGATAAGCAAGATACAAAAGAACAATGTTACATGAAGTGTCCAGATTGGGTCAATTTACAGAGACAGAAAGTAGAATAGAGTTCACCAAATACCAAATTGTTCCCTCAGCAGTGGATTATGTTTTTTATATTTTACTACATTAACCTGCTCCTCCAAATATAACACTTCCACTACATGCTGTGTATTATTTCCTTCAATGGTACAAACCCAGGAAATAGGAAATTTCCTACAAAATAGGAAAATAATATTCTGAAGCTAAGAAGTGCAGTGTTGGGACTAATACCCAGAGTCAGGAATTCCAAGCTGGTGGCGCAAGGAGTTAGTCTCAACACTATGAAGCTATCACCAGCCACTGGAGCGTGAGTTCGATCCCCGGCCAGGCTGACCCACAGGCACACTCGTCCGCTGCTGTAATTTCAGTCGATCTGTCTGTTCTGCTCCCCACTCCGTCTCTGGTGAATCCCCTCACCATCACCCACTTTGCTCCCTGCACCTCTAGCCCAGACCCCAGTTCTTTTTTTATTTTTTTTTAAAGATTTATTTATTTATGCATACAGAACTAGGGTATAGGCCAGAGGTTCAGGGAGTGAAATACGTTGCTGAGGGGGACCAGCGGGTATCAAGAGGCCCATGTGGGTCACTCCCTGATCAGGGATCAAACTCATGCTGTAATGCTGGGAATAACTTCACAGTGCTGCACCCCAGCCCGCTGTACCACCAGGGAGGGCCGGACCCTAGTTCTTATATGCATAAATAAATATCTTTTTAAAAAGTAAAATAAATAAATAAACCTCAGAAAGTTAGATTTGCTCTTAATTCTATGCTACACAGAAGCATTTTTTCTCATAGTCTAATATTGTTTCTCTGATTTGAGTGTGAGTTTTTTTTTTTTTTTTAAGATTTTTATTTATTTGTGCATACAGAACTGGGGTACAGGCCAGAGGCTCAGGGGCAGTGAGAGGCTTCACCAGAGACAGAGTGGGGAGCAGAACAGGCA